GCTCACCTAGGCATCAGCTCACTGTGCACGAAGTGCTGGAGACCAGGGAGTTTATCCCTCTGCAGTGGTCCCAGTCAGGCTCTGTGGCTGGCAGTAGGGGTCAGGTCGCTTGTCAACTCCAAACACTTGTTCACAGTGACCTGAGAGCTCTAGGCTTCTAGAGAAGAATGTGGTGACTGGTGAGGTCTGCCAGGGCCCAGGAGAAGGGGCTATTACAAGCAGCCCACAGAAGTCATACCACCTGCCACAAGGTGCCCTGACTCCAGACAAGGATTTGGATGCAAGCCATTTACCTGAGAAGACATATCAGGAGAAGAGAATGAGACAAAGGAGAGAAAGAAGGAATTCAGTATAGCGTGTGCTAGTAAGTGGGTTACCACTAATGGTGCCCGAGGCTCAACTGGGGAGACCTCTGGGAGAGGGCTGGCAGTGGGCCTGGGAGTTACCCAGCCTGAGGGAAGGGAGGGGCCGTGTCCTCCATTGCTCCCAGACTTCCAGCCCTCAGCCGGAGGTCAGTGCCCACTGGAGGACGCCCTTGGCATGCATGGACAGGTACCTACCGCGTCTCCGTCAGCATCCCCGCTCACTGAAGAACACCAGTGCTGCTCTGACAGTGGCACTCAACACCACCAACTCATTCTTCCAGAAAAAGCAGGCCTGAGCCCAAGCTGATGAGGGACAGCAATGGGGCTCAGTAGACACACGTGGGCCATGCTGAAGTTGGCCATGCTGTGTGGCCTTGGGCAAGTTACTGGACTTCTCAGTACCCTCCTGGTAATCTCCATGTGACAATTTTTGCCGCCTGGGTTTTTGTGAGGACTCTCTGATACCTCCTCCCTGGGATCCTTCCCTGACCCTCAACTCACTGGTCACTCACTGCCCCCACCCCACCCACATCTGAGTGGCTCTGCCCTCCCCACCCATGTAGAACCCAGCCTCTGCCTATCCGAGGAGTCTGGGGAGATGGTCTGGGGACATATAAATGGACAGGGGCCTCTGGGCATAAAGGCAGGCTCCGGATGGCTAACTTGTAAAATGGCAGTTTGCTACGGCAGCAAGAGCATGTTAGGACTTCTCTTTTCTGCTCATTTTTATTATCTTTTCAAAAGTTCTGTTTCTGTTTTGGTTTTTTAACATCCATCCTAAGCAGAAGTTATGCAAGTGCTTCTGTGGAAATAGATAGATATACTAGGGTGTGTGCCCCCAAATAATTAATGGGTGTGGGATCAGAACACTGGGGAAATGACTGCAATTGAGCCTTCTCTCTTGGCCTGGGTAAGTTGTGTCTGGCATCTCCCCTGCCTGGGATTCTCTCCACACCCTTCCTGGTTGTCTCAGTCTCTTTTCATAGAATTATGTCTTGCTGAGGTTCAGTCGCTGACCTCTAAAGGTTTATAAAAGAATCTGCTACTTGTTGACCACACCTCTGCTGTCCCCTGGGCAGGCCCAGAGTGTCCCTGCCTTCTCCCTTTCCTTGAGATTAAGACCCTGCAGGTGTTAATCTCCTCTGATTCTAAGACCCACAGCAGAGGCCGTGTCCACCATGAAACTTCTCTGGACCCTCAAACACCAGGAGAAGCATCTACCAGTGCCTCCCTGGAGCCATACGGGACAGTGCCAGTGACCCTGGGTCAAGACCCACTACATGATTTGTGGGGCTCAGTGTAAAATGAAAATGTGGGCTCTGTGTTCAAAAAGAGAGAAAAAAAGCGTCTCTAAAATTCTAAATCACAGCACCGCCCTTACTGAGCTCTCTGTCAGCCTGTCCTGGTGGTTTTTGTTCTGTTTAATGTGTGTCATTAGGCAGATGCTGATGGCGAGTGAGGACCCTCAGAGGGCACCTGGCCAACCTGTCCTCCATAACACGGCACAGATCTGTGACCGCCGGCTTCCCCTCTGCTGGGTTGGCCTGTGAGACAGCCATCGCCCTTTCCCATGGGTCTGTCACCCCACCCATGGTGGACAGGTGATCCCCAAGGATTACCTCTCCCATGCTTGGATGTGTTGGGTATCTGGATCAGGGTGGGCAAGAGTATTGTTCCTGCTGAGTGACCCACCAAGCGTGGTACTGTCAAGCTGCCCCGCACCATCCACAGCCTTAAAAAACTCCCCACGTAATGTGGCACCTCCCAGACTCTGAGCACCATCTCCTCTTACTCTACCATATCTAAGTACCACGTGCATTATCATTATTTATTTAGTACCTTTTTCCTTAGAGCAACCAATGATTCCCTTCAATAAATTTGTTCCTGAGAGTCTATTTATCAGTGTAATATTATAGATTTGTTATATCCAAATATTTTAATACACATTAAAATAAATACTAAACTATTGAAATATTAAAAATCCTGGTCTTCTTTACCAAAATGTTCCTCATGGACCAGCGGTGGGGTGAGGTCCCCTCAGGAAAACACTGATGGTAGGAAAGGGGGTTGTCATTCACAGCCTGCATTCATGACCCAGAGACGACTGGCCTCATGGTAAGAGACAAGCACACTCACACAGACCACATAGGAAAATGGGCCCCAAAACCTGGGGTTTGGTGCTCTATGTTTATCATCTTAAAATGTTTAATGATTGTGTCTTTGAGTTGTGCTCTGTGAATCTGATGGGACAATGAAGAATGTGCTGGCGGCTTGGAACCTTGGCCCAAGTCACATTGCCTTCTGCCACTTCCCCAGGACAGGGGCGAGGAGATGAGCCAAAGCTGAATGAATGAATGAGTGAAGCAGCTAATGAAAACAGGGACGCCATGAACCTCTCCTTACATTAGGTAGGACGGCTTTTGATTTGTTCATTTATTTAGGATTAATTTATACACTTTTAGAAAAAAATGTGAAAGAAATTAATTCCTTTAAAATACACAGAATCCTATTGTGGAGTGACATTCCGGCCCACCTTCTGGGGTCCTCTTCTCTGACCCAGAAGTTCAGAATCCTGGACAGAGGCAGAGCGAATTTACATGATGTGAAGGGTCCCCTCGCTGGCCAGGGCTTCCGGCTGGTCTGTAGTCTTCAGGTGGTCTGAGTTCACGCTCTCTGCCACGTATCTTAGGGGCTTTGTGATTTGTAGGAACGTGTGACTACAACCCGGCAGTTGATACACTTGGGAAGCCCTGGATGAGTACGTAGCTAAATATTTATCTTCCAGAAGTTGTCAGCCTATAAATGAAGTTCAGCTTTACTTTTAAATCAAATGCCACTTTATCAAACAACAAAATATTAAAGGTCAAAGACTGAAATGCCACATATGATGGACATTTTGCAAATAAGATTTTCTAAAATGGAGAAAATGGAGGAACATATATTTAGTGTCATGAGCCAACCAAAGCTACCTGCAACCTCACTCATCTTTGCCAGGTGATCTTTTGCTTATGTCTTTTTTTTTTTTTTTTTTGGCACCGGGAATCAAACTTAGGACTTTGCGCTTGCCAGGCAGGCGCTTGTACCGCTGAGCTATATCCCCGGCCCAACTTATATCTTGAATAACCATAAAATATGTCAATATGGCTTATAGTCTGTATTAAATAGATGGGAAAAAGGAAATTCCATTTTACATGGAATTTCAATCTACTTGAACATACTATCTGTGTTTTCTTATTTTTTATGAGGAACTTTATTTTGAAGGTTTAAAGTAAGCATTTGGGACGGGCTAACCCATTTTAGGACTGATTATGTAGATCAAGAGATGGATGTATACTCTAATTGCACAAGCCAAAGGTTGCCTCATAATTCTGCTTCCCAGACATGGTCAGGTCTCCAGATCATTCTCCCAGGTTTTTATCTGTGTTTTTGTGCATAGGCGAACATGTGTGTGTATGTGCGTGTGGTGTGTTCATACATACCATATGAGGTGTGAATATATGTTTAAATTTCAAAAAAGCACTACAGTAAAAGACACACTGCCATTAATCCCCCTCAAAATACCCCCCCTTGCTTTGAACACACTTATCCCATTTTTCTTGCCACTCTCCAAAGCAGTTCTGGAAGTCCTCTTTCGTGAGTGTCTTTACAAGGTGTGATCAGAAGTACACTGAATGCTGCTGTCGAGCGTGCAAGAGGGACAATGTGTCCTTATTCACTAGATCTGAACTGTGCAACTTCTGGTTCTTCTTCAAAGTCAGAATGACTAGGAAAGGGAAACAGTGCAGGATATCAAGGCAGCCATGAGAGCACAACTAAAGACACTCATGAAAGAGGAACCCAGAAGTGCTTCAGAAAGTGGCAAGAACAATGGGATAAATGTGTTTGAAGAGAGGAGGATTCTGAGAGGGATTAAGGGCAATGTGTCTTTTACTATAATACATTTTAAAAATTTAAGTACTCACTGGAGTTTTGGTCACATCCCATAGATTACTACTTGGTGTGCTATGAGATGTGCCTTTTTCACATGACTCAACTTAGAATATCTTTTCAGGTCAGCTCATAAAGGTCTATCCTATGAGGAGACTTTTCAAGATGATCAATCAGACTCAATTTTAAATCGGACACTAGAGCTCTGGTGTTTTTGGATCTCAAAGACTTTCTCCTAATCAGCACAACTGGAAACGAGCACGACGTTGCCCGCTTCCTGGGGGAATGGCCTGCTTTTTCTGAAACCATCTATACTCATTGTCCCCAACTCACAACCTGTCCTGCGCAGCCCGCCTGCAGCTCTGCAGAGCCTCCCGAAGGTCATGGCCTGTCCACCTGGCCACAGAGGTTACTTCTTAATCCAGCCTTGTTTGCAGACTGGCTACTACCCTCCTAGGAAAAGTCAGAGTTCTGAGGAAGAAGATTGACTCTAAAATATAAAAAGAAAACTGCATAATCAAAGTGAGTGCATTTTAACTAAGTGCCCATGAAGTGGATAATAATGTCAACTTCATTAAGTGATACATTTAGTATGCGGGAAAATTTCATTATATTTGCAAAATAATTTGAAAGTCATATTTCCTCCTTTGCAAAGTTTTTAAGGCATGCATAGGGATTGTCAAGAAATAATACATGTTGCTCATATCCTATTTTCTGAATTGTTAAAATCATCTAAAAATATTTTGAAATTAAAAAAAATATTTTGAAATACAAAAACACATATACACACACATATACAGTCAGCCTTCCATACCTGTAGGATTCACACCTGCAGATTCAACCAATCTGCATTGAAAATATTAGGGGAAAAATTTGCATCTGTACCAACCAGGTACAGACTTTTTCATATTATTATTCCTGAAGCACTAAGGTATAACAACTATTTACATAGTTTTTACATTGTAATAGATATTATAAGTAATCCAGACATTATTTAAAGTATATAGGAAGATGTGCATAGGTTATATGCAAATAGCATGCGATTTTATATAAGGGACTGGAATATCCACAGACCTTGGTACCCTTGAGCGTCCTGGAGTCTGTCCCTTGTAGACGTGTATGTATGGGCATGTGTCTATGTGTGTTAGCAATGACAGAGTCGCCCATGCCAGGCACCTAGGATTTCTGCCCCATGGCCCTCCTGCGCGTCACCAGAGTATCATCTCTCACCTTCCCTCAGAACACGCAGACGGGGAAGTGGACAAAGGCCGATTTCGAAGTACTCATAATTTTTACCCGTAGTATAAAAGCTACACCTGCCCACTCTAAAACCGAAACAAGATCCCTAGCTTTGAGAACCTTGTAGAAATGGCCTACACGCAGCCACTCACAGATCTGCTCCTGGCCTTTGACCTCAGCAGCCTGGCCCAGAAAAATGAGCCAGGATCATGGCATTGTCGCTCTCAGGAGTATGTCCTCTGAGACTCAGAGGGAAGCTACATTTGGTGGGGACACTGGTCCCACCTGGACCCTCTTCCAGGACGGATGGGAAGCAGCCAGAAGTCTGGGGCCGACTCAGCCCTTCTCACCCAGGGCAGCTTGAGGGCAACGAGCCGCTGGCATGGGTTTGGAAAGGCTCAGCCTGCTCGTCCCAACTCAGGGCCTCCCTCAGAGCCCACCCCTGCTCCAGGCACCTCGAGGGGCGGCTGAGACCTTAGTTTAGCCTGTGTGGAAGCCCAGTTTCTCCCGCTGTCCACTTGCGTTTCTTCTTTCCCCGGGTCACTTATGGCGACGAACTCCAGAGCACACCACAACAGACTTCCTGTTTTCTCACCTTTATCTCAGAGTCTGCTCCTTGCGGGACCAAACCGGCCCAGGGAGCACAGGAAAGAGGATCTAGTCATCCAGGTATGGTTCTCACATCTTCCCTGAGTCCTGCATCTTCTGCAGGGCTTCAGGGTGGCACCTCCTCCCCACCGCATCCTGCCCTGACCTCTGACACTGCATGTTTGTTCTGGAGAACGGGTTACCCAGCGCTCAGGGTCTGCAAAGGAAAAAGATAAATCGAGGAGAGGTTGGCCTCTCTGAGCCTCTGTCTCTTCATCTGTTAAATGGGCCACACCCATTTAACACCTCAGGAGCTCGGGGAAGAGCAGAGAGAGAAGACAAAGCTACGGATTCAAGGCTTTCTTGCTCTGCCAGGTCTCCTGTCAGTCACTGATGGGCTAGAGAAAGAAAGTCCCAGTGACCTTCACGTAGGGTCCCTAAGACTCCCAGGACAAAAAGCTACTCACTTTATAACTTCTCACTTTGACAGACAGCAGAGCCCAGGCCAGGCGCTGCGCTAAGCCTGCCTAATCCTCACCATGCCCCTTCATATTATGGAGAAAGAGCTAGAGCTCAGAGAAGTTAAGTGACTTACTCAGGGTCACACAGCCAGAACACCATGGAGCCAGTCCCACCGAAGCTTCCTGAGCACCAAGGGGTTGTTTGGTTGGGATCTCTGATCTCACGTCCTTCTCATTGTGAAAGAGATTCAAGGTGGGCAGAGGGGTCAGCTACCGTCTCCCACGCCCAGCACCATCACATGGGTAACCAAAGCGCAACTACTTACTCCACGAAAACCAGCAAATGCTGCAAAGCAGGATGAGTAGCGGCTGCTGTTTTCACGGCCTGGGGTTGTACACTTTCTAGCTGGCGGTGGGCGGATTCCTCTGGACTCCAGGATCGGCCCTCCCTTCCTTCCTCATCGCTCTGGGGCCTTGCTAAGGTCACTGCACCCCTCGCGCCGCTCCCACCAACCTGTCTGCCCCCGCGGCCCTTGCTTCTGTCATCCCTCACCGGGTCCGGCATCCCTACTCCACCCACCATGACACAAATCACCTGCTTGTACCCGCCAGCCTGTTACAAGGACTTCACTAGGGACACAGATCAACGTCTGCTGTCACAACCAGCCAACTAGTGACAATTGCATGACAGTGTCACAAGCGCAATCTCACAGCGCCCTGTACGCTCTCCTCCAGCCCAGGTCACAGCCAAAGCATTTTGTTTGCACCTTTGTGACATCTGCCTTTAACTTCCTTGGGTTAAGCGTTAACTAGGTTAACTCACTGCCATGCTACCTTGGTTTAGAAAATAAAAAAGTGAATGGCATGTCCTCGTTGATGGTTCACTTGTAAGATAGCTCTCATTTTTCTAAACTTGGCACCAAAATTTGTAATTCCTGCAGATGAGTCAGTAGAGGGAATGTGTCGTCTATCTGCTCCCCTCTCCAGAGGAGCAGCCCCGGAAGACTGTGTGCCTGAGTCAGACCTCAAACAGCCCCACTTCTCCTCAAGGGTAGGAGAGGAAGTTGGCAAGCTGCCCGGCCCACAAGCCATCATAGCGCCGCGCAAGGGGGAGCATTGGTGGGGACAGAGAGATTGGCTCCCTCACACCCACCCTCCCCCATGCCAGCGGAGAGGCAGGGACTCAAGGACTCCCACACAATGTGCCCATTGACACTGTGGCCAAGTCAGCTTCTGGGTGCCATGGAAACCTCTCCTGGGGAGTCCGGTCGCCCACACTAAGCCCATTGTCCTCTGAGCCAGCCCCTCCCTGAGAAACCCCGTTGCCAGCAGCTTCCCTGACCCGAATCAAGTCTTGCTGGTCCAGTCTGGAGAAGCAACCGTTCTCGCCTGGGGTAGGATCCGCACCTGGATCATGTTCCCCCGGGACCACTCTGTGTTCTCCAGGAAATCAAAGGCAATCCCAGCAGTGAGGCAGAGAGCTCTTTTCTTTTTTTCTTTTCTTTTCTTTTTATTTAAGGGTAGGGTCGTTATTGGACTCAGGGCCTTTGTGCTAAACTATATCACCAGCCCATTTTTACTTTTGATTTTGAGACAGGGTCTCACTGAGTTGCCCAGTCTCACTTGAACCTGTGATCTTTCTGCCTCAGCCTCCCAGAATGTGCGCCAGCACACCCAAGAGCTCCTTTCTTAGTTGCCCAGAGCTCTGAGTGTGAACAGGGCACAGGCAGAGAGAGATCCTGACAGTGCCCCATGCACAGCAGGCCCTTGAGAGGATGAAAAGCGGAAGCTCTGCTGCGCGGTTGGGGTGGCCGTGTGCCCTGAGGGGCCATGCACTGTGAGGGCCAGGCGCAGGCGATGGCTCTGGAATAAATCCACTGGGGCCACCTAGCGCCTGGCTCTGGCTGAGGGCTCCGCCCCATTCTTTTCTCTCCCAAGCCCTGGAAACTTCCCCAGAAAGTGACTCCCCTGCCTGTCCTCCACTCTCTCCCCTGGGCCAAGGCTGAGCTGCTTAAATCCTGCCACAGAATAAAACTAGAGCCCGTCAGGGTCAGAAGAGGCCTGAGACATCAGAGCCCTGTGTCGCACTCCCATGTCTGTCCCACACCCTCTTCTGCAGAGGAGAAGCAGGGGCCCGGGGGAAGGCACTTGCCCAAGATCAAGGCCAGGCCTGGGACCCGGAGCCGGGGACCCCCAGGAGTCCAGCAGCAGCAAAACCCCACAGGGCTCGGAAACCTTCAGTCCAACCCAACCCCAAGTGGGAGTGTCAACCACCAGGAGGAAGGGCTGTGACTAGGGGCGTCTCTCCCACCAGCAGCCACCTGCTGTCCCCCAAACCGCTCCCTTCACAGCCAGAAAAATGGCCAAGAAGGCCCCCAGTCTTGAAGAGGGCGAACCCTGGAGCTGAGTGTCCTCAGGGAGGGTGGGTGTAGGAGGGGAGGAAGAGCGGCCAAGGAGAGCAGACAAGTTACGTAACCTCTCATGGCCTCAATTTCGCCCTCTGTGGAAAGAGAGTAATAAAAATCCGCCCACCTCATTGGGTGGTTGGACGGATTTGACAAGATAGTGAACAGCAAGTGCTGAGCACAGTACCCGGTGCCAAGATCACGTGCTGCTGAGAGCAATGACAATCACGTTGCCTTTGTTGTCTGGGAGCACCCCTCACCCCCAGAACTCTGGGCACCAACTTGGGTGCATGAGGCAAAGGGCGCCTTCAGGTGACCCCCTCCCAGCCACCCTGGCCCCACCCCACCGCAGGTGGGACTGAGGGGGAGGGAGACAGCAAGTGGCTGGGTTGCTGGCAGCCCTTTGGCCCCAGCGAGAGGCTCCCTAACATTCCTCTTGGGTCTTAACAGGGGGCAGCCAGTTGGTTCCTGGAATGTCCAAGAGAAACAAACTGGTTATTCTGAGTGAGATTGCAGCCTGGCGGAGGCGGGCTAGGTCTGCTTTAAATTAAACACAGCATTTCTGAGATTCTTTTCATCTTCCTGCCACCGTGGGTTCTGGAGACATTACCTCATCTTACCTTCCTGCTCTGAGGTGGGGAAGCAGGCAGGGTGTGGGCCTGGGGGGACCGGGAGGGGAGGCCAGAGAGGGCACCCAGGCTCCTGAGGAGGACGGGAGGTGACCAGGGCCCTCCTTGCTCCCACAGCTCGGCCTCCTGCAGGCCGGGGTGCAGGGGTTATGTGGTGACCCTGGGCACAGCCAGCCCTGGCCTTGGTCTTTAGCACAGCATTTACGGCATTGTCAAAGTCATGACGTTCTCAGGAGTACTTGAAAAAGCCTGACTGCGGTTTTACAAGTCCAAGGTCAGTCCCTTTCTTGTCCGCTGCCCAACATGTAGATTGTGGGGGGCAGTGCCTCCCAGCACCTCAGCAGAATGCTAGATTGTTTCAGCTCGGAAGCTGGTGCGGGGGCTGGTTTCCTCACGGAGGCTTGGGCTGAGAACAGAGTTCCCTTCTGGTCTTGGAAGTTTTTTTTGGCCAGCTGGTCAGCTTGTGGAGTCCTAGGAAATCCCGCAGCACCGAAGTCAGGCACTCATGTGAGTGCCAGCTCCCTTGACAAAGGTACCTAGTCTTACGGGACTCCTGAGTGGCCTCGTCTTCAAACTGGGGGAAAGGATGCTTAATTGTGGGGTTGGTGTATGGACTAAGGCAATTGAGTGGGCTCATGGCTGTTTTGGTTCAAATAAAGTATACCCAAAGTTCTTTGGGTGCAACAAACAGAAACTCCCTAAGCTGCTTATGCAAAAGGAAGCTGTTTTGTATGGGATCAGGGATTTTCATAAAGACAGGCCACATGCATGCCTCTCAGAGAATGGGAACTAGGAACCAGAGAGGGATGCGCAGTCCTCTTGTTTTGCTCTGTCTCTGCTCGTTCTGGGTGTTTGCTTTTCCTGGCGCCCCCGGCCCAACACCTGGCCCCTGTGCTGCAGGTCCAGAGAGACCTCAGGAGACCGGAGCTGGTTCTGTGGTGAATCCATTCAGTGCGCTGAATATTCTCCTTGTCCCCCCAAATGCACCCCTTCTCCTTTCTGCTCCACCCTGAGCCACCCCTGGTGACTGATCGGTAGGAACTGTGTCCCGGGAGCTCCCTCACCTTCTGGGTTGTGGTCGAGCTCAGCCCACAGCGGGCACCAGCGGGAGACAGGAGGGCAGAAGCAAGAGCCAGCAGGCCCGGCTGTTCCAGCTCTCTGTCTGTGGGAGGGGGTTGGAGGCTGAGAGCCTGGCTCCTCTCCCGGAGGCCACAGCCACTTCTCACACGCGCCGCCCTCGCTGTCTCTGGACTCTTGTCACCACTTCCTCCCTTTTCCTCACCCTTCTAGTGGTGACAGCTTTCTATTGTCACTAGTCTGCACCTGCAGCCCGTTGTCCTGATGGCTTCCTTTCCTCTTGTCCCCATCTTTATAAATAGACCATTCACTCTCTGCTCTCCAGCAGCGACTGGTCACTCTGAGTTGCTGGCCCCCTGCTGCTGAGACTCTGGCCGAGATCCAGAGATGGAGGGGGGAAAGCGGCTTTATCTCCCTGCCTCAGCTGTGATTTGATACTCAGAGGATGCTGGACAAAGAGCTAGAAGCTCTAGGTTTGAGATCAACTTTAGAGACAAGATAGCCAGAACTGGGAGGGTCAGAATTCTGCTAGAAGGGAAAGTAATATATATGCCCTAAATGGAGTTGCTTTAATAAGAAATTTCAGGGCCAGGGATGTAGTTCAGTGGCACAATGTCTGCCTGGCAAGCACAAGGTCCTGAGTTTGAGTTCCAGTACTAAAAAAAAAAAGAAATTTCATTTTCCTGGGAAAATGTAACCATATATGAAAATATGCTACCACATGATCAGGGCCCTCTTTCCTGCTTAAGACACAGTTGCCTAAAAGTCAACATCATAAGGATTTTTTTTTGTTTTGTTTTGTTTTCCGGTAGCGGGAATTGAACTCACAACCTCACACTTGCCAGGCAGGCACTGTGCTGGCTGAGCTAAATCCCCAGCCCCTAACATCATAAGGATTGTAACTAAAGATATGTTAGCATTGTTGTCCATCTCCCAAATTGAGGGGATCAGTCACCAGCATTCCTATCTTTTCCTTTTCTTTTCCAGGTTGGCTCACATACATCTCATGTTTGGTTTTGACTGTGCCATTAGCCTAGAACCATGTCCCTGGTCTCTCCTCTGCTCAGTGTGGCCCCCAGACCTCTGACAAATTTGTCTCCACTTCTTCCCTTCTCTTCCCTTCCCTCCCCTCTCCTTCCCTCCCTTCTCCTTCCCTCCTCCCTCCCCTCTCCTCCCCTCCCCTCCCCTTTACTTCTTCTATCTCTCTCTCTCTTTCTCTCTCTCTCTTTCCTCCACCAGGCCCTTCTGCCAGGGTTTTCTGCTAGAGCCAGACAACTATGGATTGAAGCTCTGAGACTATAAGCCAGAATAAATCTCTCTTCCTTTAAGTTGTGTCGGGTGTTTTGTCTCAGCAATGGAAAAGTGACTAATACAGGGGTTAAACAGAAGAAAGTGCTTCAGTGACAAGGGTGATCTTCTGGGTGAGACCTGGGACTCCACAGAGGTGGGACATGCAGCCCAAGTAT